TATATATATATATATGTATATGTATGTATGTATGTATGTATGTGTGTATGTATGTATGTGTGTGTGTGTGTGTCTGTATGTATGCACGCATGCATACATGCATATACGTATGTATGTATCATGCATGTATGATCCCACATTTTCTTGACAAATTGAATTTGTGCTAGCATTGAAATTTGTTATTTCTATTAGTGATGATTTTTTTACGTTTACTAACGTTTTCTGTCATATCGACATGTTACCTGCTATATGAAAAAAGAAAAAAAAAACTTTGCAAATCCATAATTGCCATACAATATTTGCAATTAGAAGTTCATTATTATTTATTATTTTTATTTTGATATTTGCCCTTATTCTAACTTGCCTTCATAAAGTATCAGCTATTAAATAGCTTATTAATCCTTAACTAATAAAAAGATTTTGCACTCAAAGCAACTCATGATGGCCTTTCACACAATCAATGACTCTAATGTATCCTCTAATAAAAAAAAATATGAATTGTCCATTTTCTAATTAAAATAATATACGTCATATAAATGTATTATCATATCTTCCTTATGCCTTTCATCATTAGGAAACACATAAGCTAATGGCACCACTAAACGAACACAAAATAAATACTCAAAAAAAAACAATTTCAAGTTAATAAATTAATTGCTTGATATTATCTTGCGTTAATATATCATTAACAAGTAATATCAACCAAAATATATATAGTTGAAAAATAGAAGAAATTTTCAATTTAAGTAAAAATTATTAAAAGAAAAATTAAGAATTTCTATTCATGTATTCAACCTCGTAATAATTTTTAATTTATTCCACTGAAATACTCGGCAGCTAGCACGTAGCCGAATGGCTAAAAGGATTCAAAAACAGAGCTTTCTTATTCACAATCGCCGTCGACGACGCCGTTAAAGAAGTAGCTTTTCTCCCGTCGCGGGCACCGGCGGCGGCCACCCTCTCGCAAGATGGGCAAACGGTATATGCCGCCGTAGGTAGTTGCATGTACATCGGCGTCACCGCCGCCGTTAGTTTGAGAGCTTTCAGTTCCTGCAGCTCTCTGTGTAGCCTTCTGTTCTCCTCCCTAAGGGTTTCACAGCATCGCCGGAGCAACTCGCAGTCCACTTCAATTTGCTTCAGCTTTGTCCTGCGAATTAGATCTTCCATCCAGTGAGGATTTGAATATTGTTATTAGAAAGAGGAGAATCGGTAAATAAAAAATTAAATGAATTTAATAAAACCATTATTATGCAAAAAAAAAATTATGATTTTCCTGAAATGTTATTGCAGTGCAAGAGGAATGTCTTGCAAAATATCAAGGATTATAGTTGCATGAGTTATGTTTTAATCAAGTGCATCTTAAGCTGTAATTTAAGAAAAATGGCTTGGAAGTAAGATTAGTTTACAGAAAGACTGGCATAACATCAATAGATAATTTTTATTAATTAAAAATTAAAATAAATATTGTGCAACAGCTGAATACTGCAGAAAAACAGACCAAAATATTTTCCATTAATTATGAATATTAAAGGAGGAAAATAGGCCAGAAAAAAAATATAAACTACCTAGCTCTTCTGTTCTGGAACCACACCTCCACCTGTCGTGGCCTTAGATTCAATTGCTTCGCCAGCGTTTGCTTTTGCTTCTGTTGTCAAAATCGCACAAAAGAAGAAGAAGAAAAAAGTTGATTAATTATAACAAATTAGTTTCATAATAAACATCATTATCGTACATATTTATAAGAAGAGAGTAATTAATTAACTCACCGGATTAAGCGTGCTGTGCTCTCTGAACTTCTCCTCCAAAAGAGTAGACTGCTCCTTAGAAAGTCTCAGCTTCTTCCTACAGCTTCCTTCATCCTCTTCATCACTCCCTCTCTGTGACAATTTCTCCATCTCCTCGTCCTCCTTCTTCACGTCCAACAAGGAGGCGGCTAACGATGGACTGTAATCTGAGTCTGAGAATCCAAGGGTCAGAGATGGCCCGGGGAGCATCGTATTCTGAACAGACGGTTCTGATTTCTTGGAAAAATCTCGCCTTCTCCATCGGCGGTGGCCCGTTGAGCCGGCGCCGCAAGCGACTGGGGGGGGGCCCGGTGGGGCCGGCGCCGCAAGCGAGCCGAAGTACTAGACCGGTGTTGTAGGCCTCCTCGACGGTCTGGTTCATGATGATGTGGGGCGCGAGGGAAGAAATGAGGGGGGAGGAGAGGATTGGTTGATGGATGACTTGCATTGGACTGCGATGAGGATAAATAGGGCGGCTTTGGTTCAGTTGGGAGGGACCACGTGGACTGTAGAGATATGACTACGTGGTTTCACATGTAGATCTTACTGAGCACATCGAAAAAATCCCTTTTTTTTTTTGGTGTTTAGAAAGTTGATCTTCTCAAATATATGTATTAATTATTTGGTGGTTTAGATAGGGGGGAAAGAATGTTAGAGGTGAAAATGTGATTGTGGAAATGAGTAGATTTTCGTTTTGAAAGGAAAAAATTGGAACTTTTCTCAATTTGAAAAAATTAATTATTTATAAAGCATATAGTTTGGACTTGAAATGCCTTTATTCAGAATATATTTGTTCAGATAAAACAATTCTTCTCTTTTTTTAGAAGATTTACATGCTTTCCCCTAAATTCATATAAATTTATTTACGTATGTTACACCTAGATTTCAATTTTTACATGCATACCAATTTTCCGGAGTATGAAATGTATATGTTTCACTTTTTGAAAGTTAAAATTATGAATCTTTTGATGTGATATGAAAGTTTTAGGTGATATAAATGTAGAAAAGCAATGTTTAGAATTTAGATATGTAAATACATAAAAATTGGTTTGGTATGAATGTAGATGCCCCTATTTTAATATATACACTAGTGGTCCTGCATGCAACAAAATGTTGACTTGATAAAATTTTATGTCTGCTATAGCATGAAAGATACAAGAAAATTTTGATATGAGATTTAATTTAGATTAGTGAGCCTTGTACAATAGTTATAGATACATAATGGCATGGAAAGGGAGGTGTATCAAGATTGTATTAATGCCTAAAAATAAATGACAAATTAATAACATGATGTATAAATGAACTAATATAAAATACACTAGAAAGATAAAAAAAAAAAATAATATAAAACAAAAAGAAAGAGATTTATGATATTCCTTTAATGCATCTCTCAAGTTGGAGTTTTATGAGAGGATACCAACCTTGACATAAAATTGAACAAGGTGATGATGACGAACAAGCTTGGTGAATGCATCTGCAAGTTGATCATCAATAAATACATGAGAGATACGAATGTTCTCATTTATAATTTTTTTTCCCCAACGTAATGATAGCTGATTGAAATATGTTTCATTCTAGTATCAAAGATTGGATTGGCACGTAAATAGGAGTGACATCAATGTTCTCACAATAAATAGTTGGTGTAGTCAGTAAATTATATGAATAGATGGTTCATGAAGAACTGAATGTAACTAAGTGAGTTCAACTATAGTAGAAACAATAACAAGATATTCTGCTTCAGTAGAAGATCGAGCAAATGTGTTTTGTTCCTTGGAGCTCCGTAGAAATTTTTAAAGTATGTAAGATTAATTTTTTTTAATGCATGGCCTTGGACCTTGAATGAGCTTTGAAATTCCTTTATTCAAAAGAAATTTGTTAGGATAAAACAATGCTTCTCAACTAGGTTAGGAAATATTATATTTTCTCTATACTCTTTTGGAAGGTATACCTACATACCACTCAATTCCCATGTTAATTTTTACATATCTTACACCTAAACTTCAATTTTTGCATGTACACCATTTTTCCAAGGCAAAAAATGTGTGTTTCACTTCTTAAAAGTTAAAATTATGATTTCTTTTTTTTTTAATGTGATATGAAGATGTGGTTGGTATAAGTATAAATAACCAATGTTTAGATGTTACATGCGTAATCACATAAAAATTGTGCGGTATGTAAATGACACTAATTTAATATATGTATACCATCGTGGTCTCGTATGCAAAAAAAATATTGACTTGATGATATTTTATGTCCGGTATAACATATGGTAATTAATATTAAAAACTATTGTTATAGTTGATTCTGTTTGATTAGTATTAACTAAGATAATGTCATATCTATGATGAAAGTAGCAAATTTTAGATCCACATATTTATTTTATTCTTTATATTTCCTTCAGCTTTAAACTGACAGATATAAAAAATTTAATGATTGAATGTTGATCTGAAATAAACTATCAATATCATTTAAACTTATATCAGCTCCTATAATTGAGCTACCATAGTTGTATTTTTTTAAGAATTGCTGACATCCTTGTTACCATCATACCATTAATAAATAAATTATGTATGATGTAATCGGTAAAATAAAAGTAACGGTGATTCGTGCCTCATCTAAATCATTTATATCTATCTATCTATATATCTATGTATGTATGTATATATATATATATGTATGTATGTATATCTATATATGTATGTATGTATGTATAGAAAATATGCACCCTAAGTACCATACAGAAGTTTATTGTCTACTCACAATTGCAACTAAAACTGGTTTAATAAAGTGATCATAAGCTGATTCTGAACCACCAACATTTAATTCGTTTGAAAGAAAAGCAACAGCACAGAATTTATAAATTCGTGCAAGATCTGCCATTGTACTATAGATGGTTAGAAAGATATCACACCTTATCTCTCTACAGCTTGCAAGCTAGACGTGCAAGTAGCCCTACGGCCAGTTTTAGGAGAGGGGAGGGGCCTCAATGCATAATTTCCATAGCTACGGGGGCATGTATATTGGTTGGTGCAAGTATGAGTAGGACAACAATAGGAGTGGGGAGAGTTGGAAACAATCATTCCTTCCATATTTGAGTAGTTGGAAGTACCCCATGTATGTGTGAATCATGCATGTGGTTAAGCATTACAATCTTGAATCTTGGTTCTAGTGGTTAGAGATCATTAATTGAGTTGGGTTTGCTATAGCTAGAGGAATCCTTCACATGCATAATAATTGAGATCAATAGATCTTGATGGCTCCATGGAACCAACCTAGTGAAGGATCCCCATGTATTAGTCTTTGTGACTCCTCAAATCTTTCATCATTAGTGATAATTATTTGATGGAATATATAACATAACTATCATTAATCAATCAACTTAATTAAGGGGGAGGTTTAAGGTTTATGTAAATGGATAGTTGGAGAATGCATGGTTGAGAATTAATATGACCTTTTTTTTATTTAGTAAATTAATTAGTAGTTAAAATTAAGCTTTTTAGTTTTATTGGATTCTAATAAAATTATTTGTTTTTAAGAATATTAATTAAATATTGTGCTTAAGAGTTTGTTTCTTTGATATCATTGTAAGAAGTGCCTGAGCTAAACTTTTTAGTATTTTAATTTTCTTATTTTAAGCTATCTAATGTTAGTTTTAATTATAATATATATATATAT